TCGAGGAAGCCAAGGGGCATGATCCAGGTTCCATCCTGCCATAGTCTTTTCCAGAGGAACCCGTAATTTGTCTCCTGTATGTAAGTTCCAGTTAACAATACAGAGTAAGGCAGTGGCTCGATAGTACACTGAAAGGTCCAGGAGGCCTAGGCTGCCCCTTGCTTTTGTACAACGTATGAGGTCATATGAGAGACGCAGAAGTTTCTTGTGTCACACAAAATTAGTAAACCCCCATCAAGCTTTAAGAAAAAATTCCCTGGGTAAGTGGATCGGATAGATAATGGAAGTGATCTATTTCATTCAGGAGGTTAGGCAGGGTTGTTCTTGGAGAGCTAAGAAAAAAAAGATCATCGTCTGCAAATGCAGCTAGTTTTTGTTCGGTAGATCCCACTTGAACACAGATAATCTGGTGTAAAAAGGCCTCCATGATCAAGGCAAATAATAGTGGCGACAGAGGATATCCCTGCCTTTTCCCATTGGAGATTGAAAAAGGTTGGGATAAAACCTGGTTGACTTTCACCTGGGCTGTAGGACCAGCTTAAAGAGTGCCAATCCAAGATTGCATCTTGGTCCCAAGTCCAAGCCTATGCAATATATACGTGATTTAAATATTCCTTCTATGTGGTCAAAAGCTTTCTCAGCATCTGACGAGAGGAAAAGACAGGGTTTTTGAGGTGGAAATCGAGTGGAAAAGGAGGGAAATAGCTCTCTGGGAGTTGTCCCAACCTTCCAGGCCAGGGAACTCTCTTAGACAGTTAGCCATAATTGTCTCCAAGATTTTATATCCAGAGTTAGTGAAGAAATTGGGCGGTAATATGTTGGGTCTTTCCCATCCTTTGGAATAACAATTATATGAGCATGCAGTGCTCTCGGAAGTACATGACCCGTCTTCACTAAAGAATAAAATACGTCATCATATGAGGCAAGAGGAGGTCAGAGTATTGAAGAAAATATTGACGAGAAAACCCATCTCTGCCATGGCTCTTCCCTGAGGGCATAGCTTTGATCATAGAAAGAATTTCCGCCGGGGAGATATCTCTTTCCAAAGCAGAGATAGCCTCCATCGGAAGTTGTGGATAATCAATTATGTCAAAGTAAGAGTCTATCGACGCACTGCATCTGGAGTTGGCTTCCCCACTGTCTGAGACCTTAAGATTGTATAAGGAGTGATAAATATCTCAAAAGCAGTTGGCAATCTGGGATGGAAAATGCAGGTTGGCACCTGAAGCAGAGCACACATGAAGAACTTAGGAGCATGAGAATTGTTTTTTAAGTGCCCTTACCAACAGTCTCCCACTTTTATGGCCTTGGTCATAAAATATATATGCCAAGTGTCTAAGTTTACGTCTGGACTGGACATCTAAAAGCTGTTTCAGTTGCATCCGCAAGTCAGTGAGTTGGGCTCCTATCTGGGGGTCATTCCTCTGTTTGTGTGGAGAACCCTCCAACAGTCTACCAGCTGCAGATCTCACAAGGATCTAGAAATATTTTTCCTAGGCAAAAAAGACAGTGTGGATTTGCCCGAGGAGGAGCCCAGCCGGGGGTCCTGATATACATTGAAATCGCCCTCTAAAATCACTGAACCTGAGAAGTCCTGTAAAATTCCCAGCACTTGTCAATAAAGGAAACTTGGGCATAGATATTCACTAATGTAAGAGGGTTTCCATAAAGGGAATCCTTTACCATCACGTATCTGCCCTCAGGGTCCTCCAGGTGTGACTCTGGAACAAATGGGCAAGACTTTTGAAAGGCTATTGCAACACCCTTGGCTCGCTTAATTGGGAACGTGCTTTGAAACCAGCGGTCAAACAGGTACAGTGGCAGTTTAGGGATCGATCCCGACACAAAGTGGGTTTCCTACAACATCAAAACCTGTGGTTAAGGGCCTTTACTTCCCGCCATACTCTACTACGTTTGAATGTAGAACTAAGGCCCCTCACATTGTATGAAAGCACTTTAAAGGCAGACATTAGGATACAGGACAGAACCTGCTTGAGGCAAATAAACAGTTGACCAGGAAAAAATTAACAAAACTATGGATAGCATTTACAGAAAAAGACAATGCAAAACCTAAATGTAGACAACAAACCGCCAAGGGGAACCACAAAGGATCAGTGTGTGGTCTACAACCCGAAAGGGTGGGTGTAACGGACCCCAGACACCCACGACTGGGTATCTCCGTCAAGAAGCTGCTTCTCAGACTCTGGAACACGAGACCAGTGAATCTGGCTATTGTTACCCCAAGATCCAGACGACACCAGATTTGAAGTAAACCAGAGGTAGACTACTTTATTTGAACACAGATACAAGATATATACACTCAGGGGACAATCCCCTCTCCCTGCATAATGACACAGGGTGGGGCAGTCTACATTTAGTAACAAGAGACACAGGTATTCAAACTTCACACCAGCAGACAGTCCCATCAGGAGGGCGGGCTGCTGGAGACACCCCCCCCCCCCACTAAGCTAATACACATAAACACATACATTGCATAATAGTTTGCTCCCAAGCCAGATAAACAATAGAACAATGGGATGCAGACACATAACATTAAACAATCAACAACCCCCTACCCCACCTATCTCCTAAACATGTCTACACAGTCTGAGACAAAGCCCACACAATATTAGGACAGATCACCCTGTACCCCTAACAGGCACAGGGTGATTTACACATAAGATGGATATGGGGAGCTGAGACAGGGGTCTCCCCAACTCTCCAAAGTGAGCTGTATTCCATAGGCCCCCCCGCCCAAAGTGACTTCCGTCACAGTGGGCACCCCATGAAATAAATGAACAGGATGAACATAGTGGGGTAGTGTGTAAGCCATACCCACGTAGGGAACTCCAGCAAGAGCTACCCACCTTTGTGAATGCAAAAACATACAGCAGTTAAACAAATTACACAGCCAAATACCAAAAACAATAGACATGATGAGCTGTATGACCCGAAACCCCTATGCCATCAGTAGCAAAAACAGGTTATTATAAGCAGAAAACAAAATGGCAATAGGGAAACAGCAACTTATAAAGGGGAAAATAGTCCAGATAACTGGGGTTAGTGTAGAATGGAGAAGCATTAACAGAAGTCTCGGAAGGACGAGTCAAAGAATATTGGCAGGTGACAGTAACCAACCCAAAATGAACCAGATGGAAAGTAACCAAGAACAAATGTTCAAGTGTTTCCTTTGGCACTAGGTGAGCCCGGAGGATTTCAGATCCGCTTACATTTCCAGTGTGGTTCTTGCCAATCACGTTGTGGTTGAGTAGTAGGAGACGTGCCACCACCCCTCCAGTCAGAAAAGTCTACTTCGGACATGTTGAGAGTTTGAAGAAATTACGGTAGGTCATCTTTGTCACAGAGAGTCCCTTCTTTAGTAGCTGTAAGCCGGAACGGAAAGCACCAACAGTATGTAGCTGCTGCAGAGCATAGGGAGTCCAGGAGAGGGTGCAAGGTTTTCCTCAGCTTCAAAGTGCAGAGAGATAAATCAGAAAAAAACATAGCTTTGAGCCTTCAAATTCCAAATAAAGGCGTTTGCGCATACCACTTGTGATAGCTTCTTTGTCCTGGTAGCGCAGCAGTTTACAAATCACATGACAAGGCTTATTACTATCCACATTTGCAGGCCGCACGGCTCTATAATCATGTTCTATTTCAATGGGTAGTGCAGGGCATTTTCCCAGAATTTTTGTAAAAACAGAAAACAAAGTTGGAATTAGGGCAGCTGTTTTAACGGATTCAGGCAACCCGCAAATCCGCAGGTTTTTCTTGTGGCTCCTGTTCTCATAATCATCAAACTGGGAAAGTAAACCCTCAATCCTGCGATCTTGTTGATCTAACTTGCTGTGCAGGGAATGGATTACAACTGTGGACTCACTTCATTGTGTTTCAAGGGCTTTAACCCGTGAGCCTATCTGTATGGTATCAGCTTTAAGTTCTTGGAAGCCAGCTTTGTATGTGTCTTCCAGCTGCTGAAAAAGGCTGCCAGATCAGCCTTTGTGGGGAGTTCACTAAGACAGTGCTTGAGATCCCAGCAGGAATCCTGAGGGAATGATGAGTGCGGCAGGGGGGATTGCCAGGTCCCTGTGGCTGAAGGGGAAGATGTGGAGAGATGCTGTGGCCATTCTAGGATTGTCTCTGAGGAGTGCTGGCATCTCTCCAGATAGGGAGTAAGAGGAAGGGTCCACCATAATGGTGCCGGTCGGTTCACCTACCCACTGGCCAGAGAGGAGTGGAACGATGCTGCCCTGTAGGCTCTTATTGGAAGGGTCAGTTAGTGGCACATTATGCACATTATGCATTTTGGTTTGTTGCAGCGCCATTCATTTTCAACAGCACCCCAATGCACATGCAAACTGCAATGCACATGCGCAACCATGCAATGCTATGCGCTGCATTGGAAAATGAAGTACAGGTAACTTTTGTCAGCTCTGGTATGTTGGCAGCCCATTACATTTAATTAGGATTTATTACTGTTTTTAAGCAGTCTGTAATTAAAAAGCAACATTTCAAAAACCATTTGATAACGATATAAAACATTTTTTGCCTTCTGTTTTTCATAATAATCTGCTGTTCTGTGTATGTTTATTCTGACGACATGCTCAAGGTAATGATTAACACAATCTAGGATGAGAAGTTTCATATACGATGAACAATCCCCACTTCTCTGCACATACTGCACATATCCACATTCATAAATCACCAAAGCCACAACTTATAAAAAGCCTGTTATTACTGAAGCTAGAAAAAAAAAACAGATTAAATAATAATATGTCTTCTATGATACCTTTCATTTAGAACACTGCATGCTCTCCACCCTTGAAAATATTTTAGAGATGCACATTTAAAAAAAAAATTGGAAAATTTTTGGATGAGCTGTTTTTCTGCGTAGTTCCAGCCAGCCAATAGCAGCACAGGCACAGGGTTTTCTTGGCAATATATGAATTGGTTCTTTCACAGGAGTTGATGCACAGAGCTCACAATTTCACACGTGGGTTAAACTTTATATGGGGATCCAGAGACTGCAGAAAAAAATGCCTGAAACTGACAACTCCAAGGACAGCAGGAGAAGCAGCAAGTACAGTACGATAGCAATGCAGGAGGACAGAAGCTGTCTGGGCAAGCTGAAACTAAGGAACAACCTGGCGAAGGAAACCCTGTCTGAGTTTTTTGGCACATGTTTATTGATTGTAAGTGGCAGCTGTTTTCCTGTTTCTTTACAAGTGACTGTGCTGATGTGTGCATTTTACTAAGTACTTATGTGTAAGGCAGCTGTTTTCATTTTTCTGGTAAGAGCGCAGAAAAAGAAAACATCCATTAACGTCTTACTTTCTTTTACTTGCAGCATAGATACTGCACAAGCCAGTAATAAGTATGTCAGATTAGAGGACTAACTAGCTCTCAATAGTGGTTTATGATAGGCTTTGCCACATTTTCATCCGAACTAGACAGAAGGGCAGGAGAGGAACACAAAGTAGTTCAGGACTGATAGAACTGTACTCTAGTTATAAATTCAAGACATGTCTGTTGTCCTCGCTGAGCCTTTGGTGCATTGAGACTTGCTTACCAGACAATAGAAAAGCACCACATTCTGTTCTTTCTCTATTGGTAGTCTGGGGCCTATATAAGCAGGACATTAAAAGTGTTATTAATCTCCTAATTCTTCCTTCTTAATAGAAAAGGAAAAATTAGGGTCATAACAGATGTGCCCACTTTGCATTTTTATGTACTGATGATGACCAACAAGCATGAAACAGCTGTAAGCATTTTGAAGTAAATGGTTCTATAATATTAGATGGGATCTGTGCGTTAAATCCATGGTTCTGGATGTATTTTAGACATAAGTACAAAATAATAAAGAGCAAACCTATAACTTAAAAGATATCTAAATACATTAACAGTATCCGCATTGCTTATATTCATATGCAATATCAAAAAAGTACGACCCACAATGGATCTAAAACCACTGGGATTTTATAGGGTACTGAATTGTATAATGTCATTTACCTTCAATACTCAATATAATATGAGTTATTAGTTAAACAACATTATACAATACAATACCCTTTAAGGTTCCAGTGATTTTGGATCAATTAAGGTCATTCTTTTGGGTTCTGGATGTACAGTTGACCAATGGGCATATATGAATGATTTTCATGGCTCCACCCACTATCCTATAATGAGGAACAAACCTACTTATATTTTCGATTTGGGATGGAATTGGGGCATATAGATACCTTTTGTGTTAACTCTCAATCAAAGCTGCCTATTTTGACTCTTTATGCTGCTAACATTAGTTAATCATGTAGAATTTACATTTCTTTAGTTACTTCCTAGTTAGCAGGCCTAGGCCAATGATGTCATACTTCCTTGGAGTCTTCAGGAGGGGTTTTCTCAGCTAAGCCTGCACCCTCCTGCCTGTATGCCTGAGCTAAGAGTAGATGGATTCCAGGAAGTAATTACGGTATGAATCATCTGTCCATACTCAAGATGAACATGGTCGCAAATGCTTTGAGGTGTTTTTTAAAGTAATTTCTCAGCAAAATAAAGCATGGAGACATGGATGGATGAATGAGTTTGCTTTGAATATTATAAATGAATTAAATAGTGATTTTGGTTTGTGGTGCTCAGATATAGTGTAGTTCCATTTCAAAAGGGTTCCACTATGCTTTACATTATTTTAACAAATGAAAACCATACTACGCCAACCCCCTTGCCTCAATTTTGAGTTTCTGGGGTTGATTTACAAGAGGAGCAATCTTCAGCACTCTTCATTCTCCATAGTAAATGCTTGCTTAGCTTAGTGAATATGGTGGTTATGCTCACTTTAAATATCAAATCATATGCATGGGGAGATTGAAACTAACAGGTTGACTTCATCTTAACCATTAAACTAAGTGTACAAAAGTCAAATGAACTTATCTAAACAAGTAAATAGAAAATATTTAGGAATATAAAAGAGAAAATTATATCCTGAAAGCTGATTTACAGGTGATTGTGCTTACCTTAAAAGCAGCAGATACTTCACATTATTATATTTTGCCACTTTCTTATTAATTATTTACATCCTAGATAGCACAGTGTTACCTTTTCATCCAAGTATGTAGATTAGGACATCTGTCTGTTCTCCAAATATCTTGACCTGTTGCAGCTAAGAAACTGAGAAAGAACTGATGCCAATGGGTCAGCATATTAGCCAAGAGACCTATACACTATACAATTTTCTGTCCAATTTCTGCCCAATTTCCTTTAGATTTACCGTTAACTATGTAGTGCAAGAGCCTGCCTAATTGGATACAATTGAAAATGTTGTATAGGTTTTACCTCATATTATATGGTTTTTGGTCAATTTAAAGCACAATTCTCAAGAAAATTGTATAATGGATGGCCAGCCTTATACTTTCAGACTTAGGTCAGTAATGGCATCCTGCAGAGCTCTTTCAGGTTTGCTTTACTCCTTTGCAGTGCTATAGTTCACTTAGAAAGGAACAACTTCCTTTATTTTATTTTGTACAGCCTTATTTCTGTTGCTGTCCTATCAAAGACATCCAAGAGGGGGGCTGTCACAATACACTGTGTTTTTCTTACAATTAAAATATTAAAAAATACTTTTTGGTGGACTGATGTGAATGTACAATATATATGTAAAGCGCTGTGTAAATTGACGGCGCTATACAAGTACCTGTAATAAAAAAATAAAAAATAAAATAACCCTTAAGTAGTTACATAAGCATTATTCACTTTTATGATACATTTTGCACAGCAAAAAAGCACAGCATGTTACCACATCAATTATACAATGATGTTTAAATATGTAATCCTTACCATGTACTTATTATAAAATGTAAAATAATAAAATCCATAGCAAATATATAGTGAAATACTAACCATAATATCATTTTGAGTGGACTGACCTTTAATTAGTTACGGTAAGCATTATTTCGATGTATGATACATTTCATGAAAAAAAACTACATAATATATACAGTAACATTAACATATGTAATCTTTGATATGTACTTTTCGAAAATGAATGAAACCCATAGTGTAAATGTAATATCTCAACTCTGAACTCTAATGGGTGTTGGCCTTAATCATTAACAAATATAGATTTATGTTCCCTCACAAAGCCCAACTATTTGCTTTGACTTACTTTTCGAATCAATAGTATTGACTCGCTGGCTTGAACACTGCATATTTTTTTTTTAGGTCACATGAATATCTAGTTTTGCAACTTCCTTTATTTTGTACAGACTTATTTCTGCTGGATAAGCTCTTCTTACTCTACAGTATAACACAGGATATTGGACTGTTAGCCATCAGCATTTATTACTCAGTAATACTGACATAAATACATCCATGTTTATAAATGTGCCATTTGTAGACATGTATGTAATTAAACAAGCCACTCCAAATGTAAATAAGTAACTATTAAAAGGCATTTAAGAAAATCTCAAATGACTTTTCTTTACTGGCGTATAAATAAAGTTTCAGCTAAAGCATGTTGAAATGTGCAGGAATGCCTTGGTAAGGAGAAAAATCAAACAAGTTCTGACAAGTTCATTTTTGTTACACTTATTGTATTTGTTTAAAGCTGAAGTTTAGGTATAGCAATTTTTACACAGATTCTACAAGGATCTCCACTAGCTTCTGGGACCTATCTTGAACAGTGGCCCTGCTGCTTTCTAAACACAGGTTGCCCACTCGGCATGGGTGCCATTCAGAGATCACTTACAATTTAGACAAAGTTCAAACAAAGAGCGCTTTACATTCATTGAGAAAACACAGTGTTCCCTAAATGGCGCCCGTGCCAGAGAAGTGATTTCCAGCTTCCATAGAAACATAGAAAACAGAAAAGTGACAGCAGAAAAAGATCGAGTGGTCCATTGAGTCTACTCAGTTTTTTTTTTTTTGTTTGTTTGATTGTTTTGTCATTTTTTTTGTTTTTTTATTTCATCATTAACTTTTTTGTCTGAGCATAGATGCATGTTTGTCCCAAGCATGTTTGAAGGATCCACAGGGATCCCACAGGTAGGGCACTTATACATTCACCGGCCACTTTATTAGGTACACCTTGCTAGTGCCATGAAAATATCCCCCACATCATTACACCACCAGCCTGAACCTTTGATACAAGGCAGGATGGGTCCATGCTTTCATGTTTTTTTATGCTAAATTCTGAATGTCTCAGCTGAAGTCAAATGCCCATTCTCTACTGACCTCTGACATCAGCAAGGCATTTTTTTTTTCCACACAACTGCCGTTCCCTTGATTTTTTCTTTTTCTTTTTTTGAACCATTCTATGTAAACCCTAGAGGTGGTTGTGCATGAAATTCTCAGTAGATCATCAATTTTTTAAAAACTCAGACCAGCCTGTCTGACACCAAAAAAAAAAATGCCACGTTCAAAATCACTTAAATTTCCCTAGAGATGGTTGTGCATGAAAATCGCAGTAGAGCAGCAGTTTTTTATATACTCAGAACAGCCTGTCTGGCACCAACAGCCATGCCACGTTCAAAGCCACTTAAATCCCCTTTCTTCCCCATTCTGATGCTTGGTTTGATCTTCAGCAAGTCACCTTCACCACGTCTACATGCCTAAATGCATTCAGTTGTTGCCATGTGATTGGCTGGTTAGCAAATTGTGTTTCCAAGCAATTGAACAGGTGTACCTAATAAAGTGGCCGGTGGGTGTATACTTACATTTATCCAGGCTGGGCCAATTAAGTGTGTAAAGATTGCCGTATCTGGAACAGGGGCGGACTGACAACTCATGGGGCCCCCGGGCAATTGGGGATCATGGAGCCCCTGTGTTCTTTTCCAAACTCAAAAAATCCTATGATAAAGGTACCAGGGGCATCTCATGGGGCCCCCTACTGACCCGAGTTTCCAAATGGTCAATCCGCCCCTGATCTGGAATGTATCTTTACCCTTCTGCATGTCAGGTATCTAATAATGGCTCAGTCATTGTAGACTGAGTGAGAATCTTGATGTGTGGGGGTCCCCTAGGGGTTTTGTTATTGAAGAATCTCTATGCAAGCAGTGACAGAAAAAGAACTAAAACTGTCATAGATCTACCATTTGGCCAAGTTAGAAAAAACAGGTCAGTAGGCCTCGTGGGGGCAGCAGTGCTGTGAAGAATGTACAGGAATCTCGCTAATCTAACCTTTCATGTGTATGCTTGTATCTGT